AGCACAAAACCCACCCCCAACAGAGGCTGATTATGCTAGACAGAGACCCCAAATTATAAAGATATTCACAAAGAACACAGGTTGCAACCTGATTCTTGCTGGACCTGTGAGCAGGAATGAGTCAGCAGCAGCGTCCAAGGGAGGAGGGAAGAATGTTGCTAGAATGAATGTCAATCCTGCAGCTGGGCTGGATCCCTTGGTCATGACCTTGAGGCTCAAGGAATTGGCTCAGACAATTCTGAACTGAGTAGCCATGTCACAGACAGCCTCCAGCCCAGCAGGATGCCTCTCTCTAACTCTGCGATCATGACACTGCTGTCTGCAGTAACCGTGCTGAGATGTCTCAAGACCAAATTTATCACGCCCGAGATTCCATTCTTACATAAGAATCACCTGTCGATCGTGCGTAAGTTTCAGCACCAACTGAGCCAAGGGTAATCAAGATTTAAAAGGAAGGGGCTGAATAAATATCAACCAGATTTCCTCTCTGTGGGGCTGAGTTTTGAAAAATCTTTGTGCCCTCATGCGCCCCTCACAAGAGACTGTCATTTTTCTACTTTCGGGCTGCATCACTACTGTCAGGGGAAGGATGCTCTAGGAGCCACAGGCCATCTGTCTTCTTGGAGGTTCTCTTCAAGCTATGACCTCGGTTTGCTCCAGCTTCTGCCTATCCTCACGAATTTCAGCTTGCCCTCATCATCAGCTAAATTAACCATAAAGCAAAGGCCTGACTCACATTAGCGAAGCCTGAAAGACATCAGTACAAGCCCGGAGCTACGCATCGCTGTATCAAAGGCCGAGGGCCTAGGAAGAAGTGTGGGAATGGCCCTCATATTTTTATAGCACTTGGGTAGTCTAGAAGAGTCCTTTAGCCTAAGACCTTGGAGGGGAGGTTCAAGTGTGTTGTTGGAGGGCAAAGAAAATGCCATTTGAAAGTGATAGAAGGAAGCAGAGTTGTTTAAGGAGTAGGGGGGTTGGGATGGCAGGACCTAGGGCACAGGGCATCTCCTAAACTAAAAAAAGCACCAGGAAAATTACCTACAGCTCTATTTGGCGAGATGTGAAAAAATTAAATTCAGACTAAGAAATATCTGGGAAGGTTTGAATCTGTGACCCTGGGCAAATTGGTCCCTCCTCTGCGTTTCCATTTGTGAAATGGAGGAGCAGAATGAAGGCTTCTTCTTGCACTAGCATGCCATGACAGGAGGTAGAAGAAAAGGCCTTTGAAGCCAACATAATTACTCCTCTGTCCAGGGCAATGTAAACAACAATAACTCCAACAGCCTTCAGCCCTGCTTTTGAATGAGTTCTTTGCTTCTGTCTGAGAGGTAAAGTAGTTCATTCCTTGGGGAGAAGTTGAATGTGGCATGGTGGACCATGCCCTTTTCACTCCGGTTTCATTATGTTATTTTGAATTAAGACTAATACACAGAACATTCAGTATACATTAACAAGGTTTTACTGAGTGTCCGCCATGCACCCAAAGCTGCAGTAGGTCCTCTAGGAAAGAGAAAAAGCGAGCAATGTGTTCAGGGTCTTTGAGTATCTGGAGATTTTTCTCAGAGGCTCACATGTTCCATTTTAAGGCAAGCAGAAAACAAGTTGTTATATTTTAAAAGTCTAATTTTAAAAATAAATACCGCTTTTTTTTTTTTAAAGATTTTATTTATTTATTTGAGAGAGAGAGAGAGAAGAAGTGCATGAGAGGGGGGAGGGTCAGAGGGAGAAGCAGACTCCCTGCCGAGCAGGGAGCCCGATGCGGGACTCGATCCCGGGACTCCAGGATCATGACCTGAGCTGAAGGCAGTCGCTCAACCAACTGAGCCACCCAGGCGCCCCCGCTTCTTTTTTTTAATAGAAGCAAATGAGTTGGACCAGACTTACTTGTTTTTATGCCTTTACTAATACGTACTATTTATGCATTATTTATCTTGTTACGCATGTCTACAAGAAGCCTCACTTTGGCATTTCTAGATCTTACAGTGGCTTGAATTCTGATTGGATGCCTCTAGGTAAAACATAAAAGTCAATGAAAAAAATTGAATTTTCAAGCAAATGCATGCTTGTACATTTTGAAGTTCCACTCAAGTGCAATCTATATAATATGAAAGAAAACTAAATGAATCATTTTTTTGGAAATTGCTCTAATTCCCCTATGTGCACGTTGGGTAGTATTTTTTCACATCTATTGAACATGGATGCCGCCCCAGGTTAATTCCTAGCAATGGAGTGTTATCCTTTGGTGTGTACTTATTTCGCATATATTAGGTAGATGGTCAGTTATGTCATTTTCCCCAGACTATTTTGTTTTCCTTTGAAGTTTTCTAAGACAAATCACTAATCAATGTATTTCAAAAATATGCCTTGGGTGCAAAACAGAACTTTTCGGCAAGTAAAAATGTTTCAACTGAGGTCTTTCCAATGCAAATTATCTCTGTCACGACCTGAAAGTACTTGTCTTCACTTAGTATGCTTGTGTGCCTTCACTTACATGGGTTTAAACATACAAGAGTGATGTAAAGCATGGTATATCCATTAATGGACTTTGCCAGTCACATTACATATATCTAAGCAGTTTATAAGATGATGTACCAAGGGGGCACCTGGGTGGCTCAGTTGGTTAAACGACTGCCTTCGGCTCAGGTCATGATCCTGGAGTCCCGGGATCGAGTCCCGCATCGGGCTCCCTGCTCGGCAGGGAGTCTGCTTCTCCCTCTGACCCTCCTCCCTCTCATGCTCTCTGTCTCTCATTCTCTCTCTCTCAAATAAATAAATAAAATCTTAAAAAAAAAAAAAAGATGATGTACCAAGAATGAAAATGTGATATTCTTACTTGAGAAATGATATACTATATTATTGCCATGTTTTTCTTTCAATAACCCAAAGCACTATTTCAGGACCCCAGATATTCAGAATTGATTTGATTATACTCTTCTGTTCATGAAATGTCAAAGTACCTTTATATCCACTGTTTTTATGGTGAATGTGATGAGCTGAAAGGCAAATATTTAGGGCATTAACCATCCCAGTTTTCGTGGGACTGAAGAGTTTCCCAGGACATGGCACTCGCCATGGGAAAGCCCCAGCAAATAGGGTACAAATTGGTCATTCTGTGGGTGTTATAATTATCATTTGTAATTGGGGAAACTGAGGCACAGAACAGCAAAGTGCGTTGCTCAGTTTACCCAGCCAACTGGCAGAGATTCAGGACTCAGTCTTCTGTATTCCAGTGAGAGCACATTCACAACTAGGCACATCCCTGCCGTTTCCTCTATATCCTACTCTCACCTGGAACGGTAAGAAAACCAAGGTCATCTTTTGCCTTTTTTGTGTGCTACCATCCCAAATGGACCTAGGTTGAGATGCTGTGGGTACCAGTGAACTGGGCCCTTTATGAATTTCCCACATTATTCAAGAGGAGCAACATCGCCATTTGTGTTTTGAAGAGAAAGAGAGACAGAAGTTATAAATATCATACCTCTTAAAAGCAGAGCAAATACTAGTGTAAGTTCTGTCTGCCCCATAAGCCTCCTCTTAGGACTACCAACTATCTCCAGTCCTGACTGGGCCATATGTGTAATTTCATGAGACAAATCAACTTGAATGAACCTTAGGAAAGAATAACCCGGTGGTGGCCACCTTTGGAACCACAACATGGTACTAAGCTACCATTTACAGAGGGCTCACTGTGTGCTGGGTGCTGTGCTTAGAGCCTTGCTTGGATGTGGTCAGTTTAGCCTCACACTAATCCCATGCGGTAGTAACGAATGTCCCTATTTGACAGATAAGAAAAATGAGTCTGAGGAAGTTTAAGTGACTCATCCAATGTCACACAGCTGATAAAGGTTGGAAGTTGGATTTAAACCCAGGAAGTCTGACCCCAAAACTGGTGCTTTGACTCATCTACTATATCACTTTTAGTAACAGAGCTAAACATCCCAGTTGCCAATGTCCAGTCTCTCAGATAGCTCTTGGCTAGGGCAGACCTAACACCAACCCGGCTACACGTTCTGCAGATGCACAGAACTACCTGTTTAGGTCAAAGGGCATGAGGGTTTTTTTTTTTTTTTTAAGATTTTTAAAATTTATTTTAGAGAGAGAGTTCTTGAGCCAGGGGAAGAACAGCGGGAGAGAGACAAGCAGACTCCACGCTGAATGCAGAGCGTGATGCAGGACTCAATCCCAGGACCCTGAGATCATGACCTGAGTCGAAATCAAGAGTCAGACGCTCAACAGACTGAGCCACCCAGGCCTCTGGCTTTTTTTTTTTTTTTTAATTTATTTGCTTGCGAGGGAGAGTGAGCAGGGGGAGGAGCAGAGGGAGAGGGACAAGCAGACTCTGTGCTGAGTGCAAAGCCTGACTCGGGGCCCGATCTCACAACCCTGAGATCATGACCTGAGCCAAAATCAAGAGTTGGACGCTTAACTGAGCCACCCAGGTGCCTCAAGGCATGAGGCTTTCTGATCAAAAGTATTAAGGGAGCTGAAAGAAGAGATTTTAATCTGTTGGTTAATTCCAGAGTGAGAGAAATTGCCCTGCCAAGCTTCCGTTACTTCTTCTATACCTCTATTTCTCTCTCTGAAAAATGTAAACAACATGCCCTGGGCTTCTTTGAGAAATGAACTGGGTAAAATAAAGGGAATGCACTATGCAAACTGTAAAGTGCTTTATACAATTATCCCATGTTGAGAAGCTTCCAAAATAGCAATTTCTTCCAATGCCCTTGCAAAGCAAATGAGACACAGCTGCTTGAACAGTCCACAAAGAGACAGAAATCCAGCTCTCTTAAACATTCAGGGGGGAAAACACACACCGTAAAATTACCCCAAAGATGAATTTTACAAGAACCACGGAAGTGTCATCAAGTTTTTCCATGGTTAATTCTAAAAGAGTGCCAGCATCGCAAAGATCAAACAAGGCAGTTCCTGCACAGAAACCTGGGGAAATGCAGGGCTTTAATGACAGTTGCATAATAGTTAGAAATATAAATGATACTCACATGAGCAGAATCGAGGAAGCCAAGTTTACTGGCTCTTCTCCATCTTTTCCAAGACAAGTCTGTTGGGGGAAAAAAAAAAGGACTTGTTCTAAACTAAACAAAAGGAGGACTTACAAAAAAAGAAACAAGGAAAGTAACGGGGGATGAGGTGTTTGCGGGATGCCACCGAGCATAGAGTGTGACAGGGCACTTGTCAAGGGACAACAACAATTCAATGAGTTTGTTGAAAGAACTCGAATAAAATCAGCATTCGCTGTTGTGTCAGAATAAGATTACACCGCTAAAGAAAATGTTCAACAAGAATCTGGGGGGCTGGGATTTGGTGGAAGTTGCTTGGGGGTGGAGAACTCAGGGATGAGTCACAGAGTCCTCCGATGAAGTGGATGAAAGCTGGAGGAAGCCGGGTTTTGTCTCTGCCCTCTTCCTCTTTCTCTTCCTCTCTCTCGAGGGATTACAGGCTGTCTGCAATCAGCCAAAAGGGGCAAGGGAGCTGGCCCGTGGGCATGAGAATTGGCCAAGCAAGCTTCACGTGTAGCATCATGTATAAAAGGTATATGCCGTTTAAGCAAGTCCTGAGATAGGAATGGGGATGGGGAGGAGGGAAGTCTTTTGTGGGACCCTGGTGAGTTCAAGAGAATCATCGGTGCAGACGCCTGTCTCCCCGGGGGAAGAGCCCCTAGGTTATCAGAGAAGCAGGCTAAGCAGATTTTTTAAATTCTTTGGAGAAAAGAAAGTCACAGTTCCTCTTACTAAGTAATTTCTATCTTTATCAACCCTTTTACCATTAAGCTCTGTGCTTCAATTAATAGCAGCTTCTCCTGTTCTCAACCAGTCCTTGTAGACATGAATGAACTTTTTTTTTCCCTATTGAAAGTCTAAATCCGTCATATGGTTGTACATAGTTACTCTCATATTAAACTCATGATGGAAACCCAGGCAGTTCTCCCGCCCCTTCCCAAATGAGAACTTCCCATCTCCCACCTAGGTTATAGAAAGAAAAAAAAAAAAACAATTTTGATGCTCTGGCATCATTTTTCCTATTTTAGGTGGCCACTTATAGATGGAGTGGGGAGTTTACATTTTCACATCTTAAGAAAAAATATTTAAAGGGTTGAGAACTGGAGAGCTGATATTTCTACATTAACTTTTTTTCAAAATGTTTGTATTGATTTCTTTTTTGTTCTGGAATAAACTCAGGTGTAAAATGTTACGTTGTATGTATTCATTATTTAATGAATTTATTATATTTACATAATATTCATGAACAAAATATTATATTTGTAAGTTGTTCTGCCAGCCAAACTGTTCCCCTTCATTCATAAATGGAGCGTCTCAGTGTTAAACAACTGATTACCATGAATGAAGGAAGTGTTACATCTTTAGAATATTCTCCCAAAGCTGTTAAAACCAACCTACTACCATTTGGTTTTCCTCTTAAAAAAAGAAAGTTATTGTTCTTGATCTTCTTTTGTTCTGAATAGAAAATCTTAAAAATTCAGTTGGGTTTTCTTTTTTGTCGTTGCTTTTTTGTTTTTTCATTTTGGCATTCCTGTAGGAAGAGAGAGGGAACGTTCTTTTTTTCATCAACCAGAACAACACTAGTTTGAAACACAGCCAGCTTCTAAAGAAACTATATTATAGCTTTCAGGAATGGGAAGAGCTTTTTCTCTCATGGGACAGAAGGTGAGGTTTTCCTGTTGTCTTCAATCTCTGTGAATACCAAAGCGTAAGCCCTTTCTACATACATGTTCAGAGTCGTAAACTGAATTCCATGATGGATAGCAAAGTACACAGACTCCTTGATTCTGACCAAGCCAGCAACATGCACTTGAATTTGAGTTGGATTTAGATGAGCAATTCAATGGTAGAATAGTAGTAGAAAGAAGACTGTGGACTTAGGAGTCAAATCACATCGTGATCTTGGTGAGGATTTTGCTCTCTCACAGGCAGCTCGGTATTTTAATTTACTTAGCAATTTGCAGAGCTTGCCCATTGTAGCACTTCATGTCTCCCCAGTTCAATTTCCTCATCTACACAATTAACACAACTTACTGTGCAGGTCTATCATAAGGACCAAATAAAATGTATATTTCAGTTGCTTACTCCAGTGCCTTGGACATAATGCTGAGTGACTGTTTCTTATGATTCGGTCCTTAAATGGTTCCACTGCTAAACACCGGTCCTCAATAAAGTAATGTGGGACTACAGTAATCTTCTGCCACCCCCTCCCCCTGCCAAAAAATACACAGCTAACTAGGAATATTCCCTTAATTTTGACAATTTTACTGTACCTTTCTTAAGGAACCACATCACCTTATACCTACCACATAATTTATTAGACATTTACCATGAACAATGTGCTATAAGAAGCACTTTATATGGGCAATCTCATTTCATTTCCCCTACAATCCTCTGAGTTCAATGCTATGGTTATTCTTGTTTTGCTTCAAACATACTTGGTTCACCAATATGAAGAACCCCCACTAAGTATTTTTTAAACTATTTTATTATCATTGCAGAACATTTATGCGATGCCTTCTGAATTGAGTTTTGTAAATTTTGTTCAAGTAAAGCACTAAGATATAATTTATAATTTCAATCCTCCAGAAAGTGATATATATATTTTTTTTTTTTACCCCAGAGGGGAAACATAATTTAGATTAAAGGGCCTACTATCTCTCCCTTTTTTTAATCATATGTGTGCTTCCTATCTCTGATTAAGTTTCGGAGCTTATCTTAAACAAGAATGGCCAAAACTCCTATTAATATCTGTTTAAGAACTGCGCCAATATCTTCGAAGTGTCAAATGACAACACTGACAAGATGGTAGAGGTCAGCCATCTTGTTGAAATGAAGAGCAAGAGATCACTGTAGAAGAATTCCCACGGAAATTATTCCACCCACATTCACCATCTACAAGATACTATAGACATTCATGCACACTAAACTGGCAAATAAAAATGTTGTATACAAACACCCCTAATTTTGAACAATTCTGAAGGTTAAGTAGAGCAATGAAGAATGCCTGCTTGATCCTGAGACATTTACCAGGAAAAGAAGGGTTCCCTAGTTGAACAGCCATTACATCTCTATTTTCAAACCTCAGTCGAATCAGTTCATTTAGGAAAACTCCTAAAATGAAACATTTATTGCATACTTTTTATATTGTGTTTGGCTTTGTTTTATTTTTTGAATAAATATTTGTAGAGGCATATATTTGGGCTTTATTTTCTTTTGAATGATTTTTGACATTTTATGAGATAATGTTGCTTCTTACTTCTTGGAGAAAACTGAGGCATTCAAAAAGGATTTTGCACAGGGTCACAACACTCTATCTCCCTCTCCCACCAGCATTAGTACTCCTCAACAGGCCTGTTTCCGTGGATGAAAGTATCTGATTTCTCTAAAGCCAAGTCTTTCACTTGGATACTAGATGTTATGGCCATTTGCCAGCCCAACAAAATTGCTCAAGGAATTCTTCCTATCTTTCCCGAAACATTAATTGTCCCTGTCTACTGGATCATTTCCATCAGTGCACAACCATATTGTTATTTCTCCCAACTCCCAACCAACACAAACACCACCACCACTATCAAACCCTCAGCTTGACCTCACTTTCTCCACCTGTTTCTATTCCATTTCTCTGCTTCCCTTGGCAGGAACTTCAAGAGCTAACTCTCCTATTTCCAATTCTTCTTCTAGCATTCTGTCTTAAGCTACCTAAACCAGGCTTTAACCATTACCACCGCACAGATACATTCTCATTAAGGTCACTGATGATCTCTAGTTGTGAAATTCAATGGTAGATTGTCAGTCTTCATCTTACTTGATGGATCATCAGCATCTGGCACTATTTTTCACTCTCCTCTACTTGATACACTTCATTCTCCTGGTTTTTAGGACATTATACCCCCTACTTTTCCTCCTACTTTGATGGCCACTCTGTCTCCATCTTGCCTTGTGATTCCTTTTTTTTCCTTGTTGATCCTTTAATGCTGGAGATGCCCAGGCTTTAGTCCTGGCCTTCACTACTTTATCCATACCCATTCACTAATAATCTCGTTGAGCCTCACAGCTTTTAATACCAACATGCTGACAACTCCATCTGTAGCCCAGATGTACTCAATATATTCTCATAAGCCCCACATGCACATGATCAACAACCATTTTGACACCTCCAATCAGGTGTCTAATAGTCATGGCAAACTCACTATGTCCAAAACCCAAATCCCAGTATGCCCCATAGGCCTGTTCTTCTTGCAGCCTTTTACATCTCAATTGATAGCAATTTCATTTTTCTAGTCCCTCAGGCCAAAACCTTGATTCCTTTTTCTCTAACATTCCACATCCAATCTGTCATGAAATCCTGTTGAACTCTACTTTCAAAAATATATGCAGAATTGAACTACGCATCACCCCTACTGACCAATCCATGGACCAAGTCACATCATCTCTGCTGGGGTTACTGGCATTTCTCATTCTCTTAGCGTCTATCCTTGCCTTGCTCAGTCTATTCTAATACAACATTCAGACAGATCCTTCTTTGAAAGTCAATACCTTGCAGTGATTCCCATTTCACTCAGATGAAAGCCAACATCTTTTCCAGTGACCTACAAAAGCCTTGCTTATATGGTCTTGACTTTGCTTCTCTTACCTCTCAGATCTACTACTACTTTCCCTTCACACATTTTGCCCACAGGCCTCTTTGCTATTCTGTATGTATGTCAGGCAAGCTCCTGCCTTTTGGCCTTTGCATCGGCGGTTCTCTTTGTCTGTGATACTCTTCCCCAGATATATACATGCTTGTAGTGTTACCTGGGGGATCTGTGTACACACAGCCTCTTCCTTATACCCCCAAAGTCCTACACCTCGTTACCCTGCTTTCATTTCCTCTTTTCCATAGGGTCCCCTACCAGTAATATAGCATATTGATTTATGTATTATGTATTATGTTTACTATCTGTCTCTCTCTGCAAGGGGAGGAATTTGTGGTGGTCTTGATCATGCCTGTTCCTAGGCATCCAGAATAGTGCTTGGCATGTAGTCAGTCAACGGGTGT